CTTAGCTATGTCTCCCAATTTGCGGTTGTTCGCATTAGCCTGAGTGCGGCGTGGTATCTCTCTCGTACTTGCGCCCTTTCTTCATCTACGTCCACTCTGACTGTGTCTTAGAGGGAGGTTGTCTATTCGCGCAGCGTTCTATTTTCTGCGCAGCAACTAAGTTGCAGATGCGGTGTTACAGTCGTAAGGATGTGTTTAACTGTCTTTGAGATTCTATTGTTCTCCTCTTAATAGTCCTTTTTAAGTATCTTGTATAATTCGAGGCGGAGCTTGTAGTCTTCGCGATCCTCCTTGTATACCTCTTGTCCCTTGTCTAAGAGATCTGATGTCCGCGTTGGTATTACAGGATTTTGCGAGGCAGTTGTCAACGTGTCTATCGTGTCCTGCGCTGCTCCCCGTGCGTTGCTTCTCCTAACTCAGACCGTATGTGATAATGCAATTGAGGTATTGCTCGTATTCGTTAAAGGTTCGTATTGCGAGATGTCTGGAGGTAGCGGAACCTCCGGTCGTATGCGTTGGAGTCGTACTCCTTCGGGGTCTGCTAAAGGCCAGATGCCTTGCGATTGGCACTTTAGCTTGAGTTGGCGGTACTAGGGGATCTAATTGCTTGAGTTGGTGAGAATGACTGTCGCGTCCCTCTAGCTCTGATTTGCTGCCATTTTAGTAGTTTGTCGCTCGTTGTAGAGGCAATAAGACTCTTAATTGTTAGATTAGATAAGATAATGCATAGAATTAATAGATGTTAATTCTTTTCTTTTCCCCCCTCCCTAAAGGTAGTGCTATCACGATGTATATGCTCTCGTACAAATAAGGCCAAAGTAGGATCGAGGCGGGTCGGCTAACATGGCTGCAATCGACACTAATGCTAAATTGCCTGCTGGATGGCCTTCCATCAGACAGCAACACATGCTATCTGACACTAGGTCAGCGCCGTAACATAGATATTACGGTTTAAGTAATAGGCTATTAGGTAGTAGACTTTAGTAGGAACACTAAAGTTAAATTAAAGTAAGTCTACGTGTTAATATACTAGAATAATTAGATATTAGTAGGGTTATAGTGAAACTCTGTTTATATAGGACTAAGTACTTATTAGACTAAGTAAGCTGTACGTAGACTGCGATAATAGATCTGCTAGACAAAGCGCTAAAGGTCGTCTTAAGTTCTATTAAATTCCTTTAGGTTAGGTATTTTCTCGCTAAGGCTAGTAGTTCTAGAATGTAGGGCAGTAACAGGCGTAGGCGGTCTCGCTAGGTTATCTGCACGAGCTTTAGTAGTAGCTTAAGGGGATAGAGTAGAGGCGTAGGGGGTCTGTATAGCGGGGCTTGCGGCAGTAGCGAGGTAAGATCTCTTAATCTTAAGCTAGGTAATCTGCTTCTAGTCGGCGGCGAGTTGCTCCTTCTAGTAGCGGATAATTCTATCGCGCTTAATAACAGAGGTCTAGAGCTCTTGCTTAGTAGTGCGCGCGTTGCGTAGGGAGCCCTTAAGGCTCTGTAGGTACTAGTAGTTATTGCGCAGGTACAGCAGCTAGGCATTAGGGTCTCTCTACACCTTAGCTACAAGGGCTTTAGCTAAGTCTAGAGTTACGGGAGGTTTAGGGCGATCTATAGCGGGCCTTATAGGGACGGGCACCTATAGATAGGAGCTACGTAATGTTACGGGGTCTGTAGGCAGGGAAGGTAGGTGCACGTAATTAGTATATTTACTACGATATCGCTAATAGTACGGGGTTAGGCTAAGATAAGGACGTAGCTTAAGGAGCGTACGACAGGGCGCGTTCGCGCAGGAATTTCAGCGATCGCGCAGCTGCTTGCTTAGCAGCTTAGCGCGCTCTAATAGGCTATCTAGGTTAGCGCCGTAACAGGGGCACCCGAAATCTGTAGACAGTGCGCCTTGCGCACGTAACTAAGATATTATCGAGGACTTACTAACTGGGCTCTAGCCTATTACACCTACTGCCTAGCTAGGTTTAGGACGACTACTAGCTACTACCGCTACAGATTAATAGTAAGGACGAGTAGGTAGTAGAAAAGATCTTAGAAGAGCAACTACGACGCTGTAGACGTAGATAGAAACTGTACTTCGACGTTAAGTAGAAAGGATACTACTAGACGACCCTTAAACTAGTAGAAATCCTAGAGAATACAGAAGCCCTAGATTAATAGGAAGAATATACAAGAGAATACTAAGACAAAGAAGGACGCCTACTAGAAGGGTTTCGACAAGATACCCTCTAAAAAGGAGGGGAGGAGAGGGGTAATGTAATAGGCTAGAGCCTAGTTAGTAAGTCCTTAATAATATCTTAGTTACGTGCGCAAGGCGCACTGTCCACAGATTCTAGGTGCCCCCCTAAGCACCTAGATTCTGTGCAAGCGAGCCTAGTAGAAGGTTATCCTAAGCTGCTGCCCCCTAAACGACCTTTAGAACCCTAGCTACCTGTAGTTCTCTTCTCTATCAAATACAACTCTAGTATACCTATATAATAGCTCCCTAAGCGTAGCCCCTTACAGTGTAGGCGAGATTGTTTATACTAGTTAGCGTGTCGGGATAGTCTACTCCGAGCTTCGTCTTGCTCGTCTCTATTACTTGCACCTCTAGCTTCTCTGCATTGTCCTATTAGCCTCTAAGCTTGTATACTAATCTAATTATAGCTACACTCTATAGCGTGTCCTCGTGCTCTTGCCCTAGTACCTTCTTTTGCGCTTTTATTACCTTTACAGCTAGCATCTTAGTATTAGCAATGTTTCCTATCCTCTCCGCAAACTACGCTGTACAGTAAAGTACTATTACCTACTCTGCTATTAATAACTTGTCCTTAGGTTGCTGCCCTACAGCAGCCTTAGTGTAAGGACATAGCCTCTCCTTAGCTACTACTTACTACGAGGTTTAGAGCTAAGGAGTAAAAGGCTACGTCTTACTACGAAGGCGCAAACTACTAGACCTTCGAAGGCCTAAACTACTAGACCTTCTACGGTCTAGTACGCCTTCGCTTCGCTTCTCTCTCTAGGCTATATAAGTACGCGTACGCTCTGCCTCTTCTAGGCTCTGCGTCTGCTATTTTCTCTACTCCGAATACAAGCTTCTACTCAACCAGTTCGCTCTTCTGCGCGTGAAGTCTGCCTTACACTTAGCATAAGCATAGAGTGCCTAACATGCTACCTAGTCCCCGTAATCTCTAGTAGGAAACGCCTCGCGTAGATTACTAACAAACTCTTACTTCTATTACTTAAGCTTGCTGTTTTCCTTAAGCTATCTCCGCATTAAAAGCTGCACTAGCGCATGTATCCCAAAGCTTGTACTAGCAGTGTCGACAGAGACAAAACAGAAGTCTTGCAGTACTGCTACATTATCTCTAAATCTGAATGCGCTGTCGCCTGCGCTAGACTGCGACATATCGTCCTCTAGCTCGTCGTCGCTGCTGTTGTCTACCTCTCTCTAGTTTGTCTAAGCTTTCGTCTGCTCCCTACGAGGCTAGAGCAGAGCCTCTAGAATTCCTTGTTAGTTAAAGAGGCTTATTAGCGAGAGCAGGTCCGCTGCGCCTAGCTACGTCGACTCTATGTACTCAAACGAAATTAGCCACGTAAGGGCGATAGCGCTCTTCGCCTCCTGGTCGCGCTAGAGCTAGCCGTTATTGTAGGTAAGCAAGTGTAATCGTCTGGACTCGCTCTTCCTAAAGTCTTCTAGGTACTCTGCTACTAAGAACAACGGTGCTCTTTTTGAGATGTACACTGCAGCTTGCACAATAGCGAGCAGCATGTACTTAAGCGCTGCTGCGAGTTCGGCAACATAGCCGCTTTCTCCCTGCGCTCCTAGCTTCTTCTTAAAGAGCGCTCGCCCTTCTGCCTCGTTCATCAGCTCGACACTAATCATATCGCGCTACTTAACTAACTTTTGTGCTCCCTCCTTGTTCCGCGTTGTGATAAGGATCGAGCCGCGCTCGCAGTAGGGAAGGTACTCGTGCAGCAGTCATAATACAGTCTTCGAGTTAGTAGCCTAGGTGATAAGTAAAAAGCGAGCATTGTCAACGTTGTCTAGCACAAGAAGCCACCGCTACTTGCAGTTACATAGCTAGTCGTGCACTAGCTTAAAGATGTTCGCCTGCGGGTCTCGCCGCCCAGCGATCTTCACCTGGTCAGCCATGTCGCGGAAGCTCTGCTCGAACCGGGCCGCGTTGCTAGCGTGCACCTAAAACACCTACGTCTCGGGCGACTGCTTGTGCGTGTAGTAGGCATGCTCAATAGCGAGCTGTGACTTACTTCTCTGCTGTTAGCGTGTAGTACTAGTTAAGCAGGCGTTTGCTTACCCTACGCCGCCAAGGCTAACGAGCGCAGCCCGCGCGTCTAGTGCCGCGCATCTTTAGCAAACCTAGTTAAGTGTCGCGCCTCGCTCGACGAAGTCGGCGTCGTAGGCGAAGAGTATAAGGATTGATAGGGGTGGTAGAGTTTCGTGTCGCTCTTAAGGTGGGGTCTATTAGCGCTGGCTCGGGGTTCCGATGCTGGGGATGGCGGGTCGGCGCCCACCGATCGATGGTTGCCGCGCCGTGTCAATCGAAGCCCAAGCCAGCACAGCAACAACATCGAATTCGAGGTCGAGCCATTCTTGTCTCTCTCCACTTCTCTTGTTCCTCAATGCATCTCATCCCAGTCGCCGCCTGGATCCGTAATTAGGACCGTTATCGTTAAACCGCTAAACTTTGTTAGTATGGAGGTTGCTGATGCGCTATAGTGACATCGCGACAGCGATGCTGGCGTTGCAACCAGCGCATGATACGGGTGACCCGCACAATGGCTAGCTTACGTGGGATCTGTACGCTGAGCCCGACACCAAAGTCATGGCTGTCTGGAGAGCCATCTTTATGTGATATATAGTGGTGGCAATATCCAACCATTAGCTAAGAACCGCGCAGAGCGGCCGTGGACCTTCATAATCTCAGTCCCACGCCATGTCCATCAACCTGGGCCATGGCATGAACTTTCATAGAGGCAAACGATTTCTTGACTTCACTTCCGTTTCCTTAGACTAATCGTTTCCTCAATAGTCCCAAAGCCCATCGTCCTACCATCAACACCCACTACGTCCTCGCGGACGAGTTCGCCGTACCGCACCTTCAAGGCTTTGGGCTCCAGGGATATATTCTCAACTGTCGTCAATTTCTCGCGCAATACTAGCCGTTCCATCTCCGTGTTGCCCCTCGTAGCCGTCATGATCTGCAAGAAGCCGCCGTCCGCTGCAGGTGTTCCATTGCGTGACAGTGACCAGATCGCTATAGCAGCGAAAGCGGTAGCGGCAACAAGGCAGATGCTGTATAGAAGAATAAGGTTCAGCGGGTTAGCGAAGGAGTATGTACTTTAGTAGCGGGTAGTGGTAATAGGTACCATGTCCCACCAGGTGTCCAGAGAGATGGCGGAGATGATGATGTTAGCTAAGACGCTATTAAAGAGGTCCTCCGTCACATTGAAATATGTCCTAGGATCAAGCCTAGGATCAATGGGACCTTAGTCGGTGTACGGATCGTTGCGCGATGTATCAAAAACTGTTCTCTGCAATGAAGCTGTGAAGCCGTCAATTTTCCCATTGCGAATAAGCTAGACATCAAACTTACAGCTGGTGTTCATCTCAGAAGAAGAAACCATGTCCCAACTCGAACAGTCAAATAATTCCGTACCGTTGATCACAACCCTGTTGCCCTTATTGCACCATAAATCGTCGGGTCTAGGTGTCCCGTGCAAGAAACCCGTATAGATCTCATCTTGGAGTAGTGATCCCAATGCCTCTAACAAAGTCCACTCGTTGTATAATGAGAGAATAATGCGCATTCGATAGTTCCAATCTTCAAGAGCCCGAGTGTCTGCCAGAAGATCCAGCGATACACTCCAATTGTAGTAACCGTTAGTTACATAATGATTGACTAATGTATCTAAGTAAACCCCAATTGGCGAAAGTGGTTTCACGTCGCTCGTATTATATTCAACAGTTTGTATTCCACGAGGAAAGGATACCTTAACGTCGTAGAGTGCGGTGTGCGGCTTACATTTTAATTCAGTTGTTGCGCGGAGGACTTCCATAATTAATTCATCTTGGGAAGTAAGGCGGTATGTATAAGTCAGGGGTGTGTGCTTTGCAACAGAATAAAGCGGTGCATCTCGCGAATTCCTATCCCATTGCCAGTCCCGGTCCCACGTCAACGCAAAGGCTAGGGCTAGACCCAGGAGGTATTGTTCAGGGGGTAAACTATAGTTGCGATCCAAGGCGTAAGTATTGTTGTACGATACGCTGATGCACCAGAACTGTGGTCCTTGAAACTGAAGATCGTACGTTGAATTCTCCCCAGGATGGTTTGGTAAATTCCGTACTTAATTATTCATAAGAATAGATTTCGCGATGTTAAACAAGGCGTATCCAGCTGGCCTTTCACGTTTAGCGCGGGCACTATAAGTTGTTTCATAACGTCTTACCCCTTATCCCAGTACCGTATCTTTGAACCGTTGCCATAACTCGTAGAATAAAAGCCGCCACTAGTCAGCATAGGATAAGTGTCATTTTCGCCCAGATCGAGCTCCTGCGGGACTGGCGGGTTCATAACAGACATGTTACGGTTTTCTGTATAGTTGCTGGCCTCGATCACGACGATCAGCGCACCGGGGGGATAGATTATCGCAATTCCTAGACACCAGATTAAGAGAGCCATGAAAAACAAAAGAGGTGCCGTGCAGATACTGCGTAGATCGCTCAACACTAGCAAATTAGAGCGGAAGACGAATAGCTTCTCAATCGCTGATAGCGAGATAGCATTCCGACGCAAAATAAACCAAAGGTGTTGCGCAAAGCAGATTCCAACACTTGCCGTTAGTGCTGCTTTGAAAATCGTCGTCAACAGGATAGAGATCGCGGAGGTCTGGGTTTGCGTAAGATAGCTTGTGTCGGTGAGCTTGTGGTCTAAATGCGTGAATAAAAGGTGATGCCCCAGCGCGGAAAGAAGAGCTATACAGAGTCAATGGCTTTCTCCTCGTGTATAAGCTGACTGACCGGCAAAGAGGAAGCCTAGAATCATTCCTACTGTTTTCCAGTGTGTTGCGCCACACAAGGAAGCGAGCCGTGTATCTTTGCCTTCTTGTATGCTGCTCTGATTCGATGGCTCTCGCAACGAGGAGAGAGCAGGTTGTGTTTCATTCCCATCTTCGACATGCTCCACGCTGGCAGTTATGTCCTGCTCTTGTACCAGCCATTCGCGCTGCGGTTGCAGTAACGAGTGTACTGGCGAGTGTAATGGCGAGTCCTCCTGTGATGGGCTGTTCCGGCCGTGTGAGGAGCTTGAGTTAGATCTCGGTATCGTTCGCAAACTAATCTGATCAGAGATAGATGCCATCGTGAGCAGCCTTCAACGTGGAGGTGTACCAAGTTTGTGGGAAATGGAAACATAAAGACCGAGCCTGGTCTTTGTACCAATAGATTGTCAAGTCCAAGCGTCGTAAAAACCGGTGAGGCTGAGGTCGCACGAAACTTTTGGGACTACGCCTACATGCAGCGCAGCTATCGCTCATCATACCACAAATGGATGGATGTAGTCGAGGCTCAGCATGATATACAGTGTCAGACTACGCCCTGCTTAGTCCAGCCAACCAAGGTTGTTGCTCCGCCGTTGTGGCAGGCATGATGTCCTCGCGCGATCGGTATCTGGGTATGCGCTGGTACGTTCCACCCGAATCAAAGGTTCGCAACGCGCGCTTGAGGTGACCGCGTAGAACCCGCACTGACCGAGATGATATAGAGCATTACCAGTCCGCGAATCGATATACGTCGCCATACATGTCAGCCCTCTAGCTGATCGCAATGCAGAGCGTTCGTTGTCGAGGAAGGATGGAAAGCAGGATTTGCGCAGTGTCAATGTCTGATTACAAAGGTTCTACCGGTAGGCATCTGCCCACAAGATTAGGATGTCGGTTCCGATCGGAACGCGACGCAATTCCGAAAGCAACACCAAACCCTCGTATGGTACTTGCACTTAGCATTCACACTCCTCGCGCCAGGATGCGCGGCATGACACACATGTCGCAGCTCTACCATCAGCAACGCATTGCCTCTTCCAGCCATCAAAGCACTGTTGATGTACGCTCTGTCCGCAGCTGTCCTTGCACCATACCAAACCCTCCTCGCTCGCCGCTGTTGACCCATCCTCTGCCAAAACATCACGACAAATCGCGCAATCCCCCTCGATCGGCTGCCTTCGCGCATGAACAGCATCACATGAATTACACCCAGAATGTTCGTCCCAATCGCTGCGACAAACGGCGCACGTGAGTCGATTGCAGTCGGTAACGCATTGCGCACGCCACTCCTCGAAGCATGTCTTGTGCACACTCCGACCGCAACTTGATCTACACCATACAATCTCGGACGCATCGCATTCGGAAAGAGGGTCTCCTTCGTAGCAGATGGGACACTCTTCGTCGAAGGGCAACCGGCGAGCATGTGGGCGTGGGCATCGCTGCGGCAAAGGACGTGGCACGACCTGCGACACATTTGGCATTGATGTCGCGCTGGACGATGACGTTCTGCGTGAGATCGCTTCAGCTGGCCTGACTGGTGCCGCTGCGATGTCAGGACGATTCGTGTTTCTCGCGCTCCCTGTTGCGACACGGGGCGGGGTGTTGACAGCGCTGCGCGCAGCCCGGCCCAACGATGTACTAGGTGTTGGCGGGATCTCCGACGGTGCGTTGACGGATTCAGCAGCGGCTGAACTCGCTACATTATATGGAGGAGACGTGGTACTGTTCGAACGCCCTAGTTCCTGCCTGACCTGTTGCACGATCTGCTCGATCTGCGCGCGTATTGTTTCAAGCTGGGCAGGAGTGAACGCGACTGTCGCCGGCTGACTCTGCATCGCAGATCTCAGGTCTTGCGTTCGATCAAGCTCGACTGGGAACGCTGCCCTAATATTGCTCGTCCATTTGTCTACCATCGCCTCGCCTTGTGTATGTCGATGTAGATAACATAACCCATGATTGGCGAGATTCACAAGGTCTGGTCGAATTCGCTCCGGGTCTGGCTGTTTCTTCGCTATCTCAGTAACCAAGGAGCGCACGTCATCACGTCGGATCCGATTGTGGCACTCGCGACGCTTTGACGGGGCATATCCCAGGCAGAGGCCGTCCACACATAGATTCAGCACGTCTTCGGGATACCATCGGGGCTGGGATCTGGACGTGCCAGGGATGGTGGCTCTGTTGGTGGGCACTGAAGAAGGCATAGTTTAAGAAATAGTGTCTTTGAGGGAGTCTTTGAGAACGTGCGTTAATTGTAGAGATATCAGCACAGTAAAAGTCGTGATGTAGTAGGATTTGAAGACGATATGTTGAGAGTTGCACAAAGATATATCCATTGACAGCCTTCCACTTCCTCTTCACAGCCATGATCGCAATATCCAAGTAAATCCTTTGGAGGATTGTCAACCCGGCCAGACATGGGGCGTTTCATGGTGTTGAGACATAACAGCTTGGTGAGCTGCGAATCATCAACTTTCCACGAGGCAACCGGCAAACGGCGCATGATATACCAGGTATCTCAATACTCAAGAATAGCGCTGCGCCCCTGCGTTGTCATGCAACTCGCTTTGTGCAACTCGAGACAAGGCGGAGAGGTAGGCGATGCGCGCGAGGCTGATGCGGCGTGGTTGTCGCCTGGAACGACATTCGTTTCTAATCACACAGCTGCACCCACTGCTCATTGGACTAGCTGGTAAGCCAGAGTTGGGTGGAGGGCACTACGCTTGACTTTCATGCTAATTCCAATCTGAAAGGATTATCCTCAACGTCTCAAGTCTATAGACTGCCTGAGAAACCTGCGTCCATCATGCTGCTCGTAAAGCGTCCCTAGTAAGACCTCCCATCGATCATGAGCATGGCATCTATACAAAGAGAAATTTCGAATTATTAAAAAGAGGTACGGTACACTTTTAGCGTACAAAAGTAACCCCACAGCGTTGCCAGAAGCTACGTCACTTGCTCCAAACACGAATATGTCCCATTCGTCCGGACAAACACAACCTTCCCAAGAACAACAGCATAGGTTACACAAACACTCCTGCATGGGCATGAGGTTGTGTTTCAAGGAGCACACTCGTACGACTGCGCCTTCGTGACATCTCCGTCCTTCGACACAAGGCGTGTCTTCATCGGATAAGGGCACAAGAACCTGTCGTACTGTGTTCCAGACGTATCATTGAAGTTGATTGGAATCGTATCTGGCGCAGTACCCCTTTCCACCCAATCGACAAGAGCCTGGAACGTGGAGGTAGGCTGTCCACCCGATCCACCAGAGCAATGCGCTAGTCCAGGAACTTGGAAGTAGCGGAAGAAATCGTCGACGTTGGGATCCAGCTTCGTGACACGGTTATAGTAGTCAGTGGTGCCTTTCTGTGGGATAAGTCCGTCGGCCTAACAGGAAGGTTAGCATAGGCTTGGAAGAGTACAACGCTCGTCAAAGACGACGAGGGTTAAGGATTGCTCGATGGGAGATTTACCAGACCGTGATAGGTAATGATCTTGCCGCCCGCCTTGCGGTAGTTTGAAAGATCTGGATCCGCGCTTCCGATGATAGAGTCGTACTGCTGCATAGCAGACTTGAAAAGGCGCGTGTATTCCTCCACCGTGCTGATCAGCGTGTAGTTCCACTGCGGGTCCTTCTTTACGAAGAGCTGTAACCATGCTTCGCCAAGTCCAGTTGGGGCTCCGGTACATGTGCCGTTCGTATTGCACGTTGTCGCAGCGTAGCCTAGGTCAGAGGTAGTACCCGTTGGATTAGGGCTGCCAGTGAGCCGAGATTGATAGTCAACACCGTACCAAAGGAACTCGCCGTCCGAACCGCGAGGGCCTTCCCATGTAGCGTTTGCAATTACTGCAGCTGCTTCGGTGATGGTGACCGATTTGCCCGTCGAAGTGCAATTGCGCACGCTACCGATCATCGTGAACGGACTGAAAGAACATTTGTCGATGTCGCTGATCAGTCCGTCAGCCACACCATCGAGGGCGTCGCAGGAAGCGACAGCGGCTTCGGTGAGGGAGTCCAATTCGCATTTCGTTGGAAACTGCCTCATTATTGACATCATCACCTGTGCCCATGCCGCTCCGGGGATGAACTGGTTCCAATTGAACGCTGGAGCTGCGGCAGCAATGCCATCGTAAGCGTCAGGGTAGCGCTGTGCGAGCATGAAGCCTTGGCGGCCTCCTTGAGAGCATCCGCTCCAATACGAATATTTAGCAGGTTGTCCGTAGAAGGAATTGATGACATCTTTTGCGATGAGCGACTGGTCGTTGAGCGATACGGCAGCCAAGTTTTGAAGCGCATACATGTCAACATTACCTGGGCTGTTCAACGCCCATGGATCGGGAATATAGCTCAATCCCAGGCCAGCATCCGTCGTTGACGCCACATATCCCTCTCCAAGCGCGCCGCTCATCGCCATATACGATAGCGGAAATCGTCCAGCAACGTAACCTCCCCCTCCCACGGATTGAAGTCGCCCATTCCATCCTTTCATTGGAAGCCATGTCTCGACGTTGATGGTGTCGTTCTGACCTTCGTGCGTATATGTAATGGTAATGTTGCAGTAGTCGACGCCGCGCACGGAAATAGATGGATGGTTGTAGTAGAACTGGTCGGAGACTTCGGTTGTATAGTTTGTGACAGGCGTAGCGGTAAGGTGAAGGATAGTGGCACCGAAAACCGTTGGATAGGGTATGAAGCTGGCATCGCAGGCCGACGATGGGGCGGTGATGTTGTGCATCGTGTTGCGGAAGAACGAGTGACAGGGACCAGGATGAAGGGAGTATTGAAGGTGGGAGTGGCTAAACATTAAGCTTTATTCTCCGGTCAAGTAGCAGAAAGAGATGAAGATTAATTGACCTTGCTATCACAGCCTCAGCAGAATCCACGACATTACCTGTGAGTGCGCTTGCAGGTCCTTACTCAGAACTGATGATCACGAATCAGGACATACGGCGTATTGCGCTGATTGGCTACGTATTGCCCTGAGTCTGCGCTAGCATCTCGTTCGGCCACTCGAGCCAACGCTTCCAGAAGGAACCCAGGAATCTGGAAATCTCCTCGATCAGAATTCTACCGACGTTGCCGACGAGCCACATTCGACGCCGGCGGTGCAGAACGACTGCGTAATGGGCGAGGATGATTAGCGCTTCCGGCTTTCGCATGGACAGGAGGTTTGTGAAGTCGCTAGACAGATTGATAGGCCAAATCCAGATCAAGCCGGAAGAAGGCGATTGATCAGGGACTGTTTCAGTTTGGTACACGAGCTGCAGCTGAGATACAGCCGCGCGGCAGGTTGATTGGGATTCCTCACTCATGTCTGCC